TAAATTCTCTTTAAAAATCAAATTTATGATTATAAGATTGATTGAGAATTTGATATTAAAAGCTAGTAATATTTCAATATTTTTTCATTAAATAATAGCTCACACGATACATTTATTGATAATTTATATATTTTGATAATAGTAAAGTATAATGCAATTTTCATTTATTCGTCAAATTCATGTATTATGCAATTTATTTTAAATAAATGCTTAAGACATTAATATTCATGCTATAAATTTCAATATAATTTCCTCCTTTTATTTAATAATCAAGAATCAGAAATATACTATTAGTAATTTATCATGTAAACGTTATTCCGAGAAAGTTATTAACAAGAAAAATTTCTGGAGAAATGGCGAGAAAAGGAAACTTAGTTATTATCGGCGACAAACGTTAGAAGTCTTGTGATTGCAACGACTCGTAATTCACTAAAGCTCATCAATCATTCTGCTGCATACATTGCCGCGACTCAACATGACGCCAACGAAAAAGTATCTCGTAAATCGTATTCTAATGTTAAAAACTTTACGAATTCATCATCTGAGTATAAACTTTTACTTGTAATGTAAATACGTACATGTAGCATAAATACACACTGGATATGTACTAACTTATAATGATTTTCGATTTGACTAACAAACGCCATTAATATTAAAATTGCCATTTTAGCTTCATTATCCGTTTCAATTTTTTTGTATGAGGGGTTTTGTATATTGGATGAGTGAAAAATTTATAATTAAATTTTATTATTAAAACTCTAGCAGTAATTTAGAGCATGTAAAATTTAAAGCTACTTTCTACTTTAAAAAGAATTTTAAAGCTCTTAAAATCTTTATATTCAAAAGATTATGTTATATTTTTTTATTTTCGTGAGTTTGATTTACTTATTAGGTTATTTGATTTATTTATTAGGAAATTAGTTGGACAAACATGGAAAATTTTCTTCTTATTTCACAAGCGTGATTAAAAAAAAATTTCGACTTTCTAACATGAAAACTTAAAGTTCTTCTTAAAATCGCTTTTTTAAAAATGTTCCTAAGATTTTTTATTACTGAAATATCATGGTTTAAGTAAAAAAAACATTTTAATTTTGATTACTCAAAATGTATAATAAAAAAATATCTTTTCAATTTGTTAGAAACGGAAAATATGAAATCTACGAAGAACGAATTACGAAAATGGTGAAATTCAAATCAAATTGAAGACAGAAAGACTTCTTTGTGCAACCAATTGTAAATTCGCGTTGTCATTGAAATTCTAAGGGCGCGTTTTATGATGATAAAATATGGAAGAATAGCTTTCCTGATGAACTTCGTTATTTGAAAAAATTGCTACGCTGAGACTTGGCACGATTTTATATGATTGAATAGAGCGCGACGCGGGTAAAAGTTAACTCGACGTGAGACATCTGCTATCGTAATAACAAGTGAAAACTTTACAACATAACAATAAACTACCAACGCACAACGCTTGCTCGTCGCGTAGTTCTATTTCATTCGCAAAGCAGCAAGCAAAAAACCCGCATATGGTTTTGTTTGCTGGTTTTGTTTTATTGTTTTCAAAGATAAAAGGTACACTGCGCTTCCCATTCCCTTTTTTAAACAACCATGATGTATACTCGAAAAAGGGCAAAAAGAAAGAAAAAGAAAGCTAATATGTGCTCTCGTACATGCGCAATTTAGTCAGCTCTGTGTAACCAATCGCACATCGATTTCCAATTACTTTCCACATAACATATAGTAACATTGCAAACAGTTCTCATCGGTAAATCATTTCTGCAGAATAATCTTTTCTGCTAACGCTTTTTACTGATAAGTATGATACAATAATGCGCATAATAAGAAGTATATATATTTTTAGATCAAATATTTTTCTTTCTTGCTAAACAAAAATGTGTTTGATACTTCTTACTTAAGAAATCAAAACTAAAAATTGCACAAAAATTTAAACTGAAAGTGAAAGAATAAATAAAGTATACCGGTTGTGTGTACGTGAAGAAATATTTTTATAATAAACTTGCTCTTGTTAATTCTTGAATTCTCTTGATCTCAGAATTAAGTATGAAATGCTAGAAAAAAATTTATTGTATATATTATATTTATATGCAAATGATAACTTGTACCATGTTGAAGCAAAAACTCAGATATTTCTGTTATTGGTACAAGACACGCATTGTTCTCGATAAATGAGAACGGAAAGCTTGAAGCGTTGGCGTACGTCTCTTCATTTGCTTCTAGCCAAGGATAGCGTCCTCTTTGTAGGATGCACACGATGAAATATATTCTCTACAAACACATATACACACGCGCGCATGCGTATAAATTTATTTAAAGAGCCTTTCTCGTTTGCATCTTCTTCTTTCTATTGCATAAACCTAATGAAAATCATACTTTCCCTTCGAATGTTCCATCTATTTTACGAACAGCGATTTAAATGTATATGATATCCAATTCAATTAGTAACTTATATAACATGAATTTCATTATACACTACTTAAATTATGTATAATTGAACGTAACGTTGCATAGCGATATGAATTCTTGCAAACATTTTATTTAATTCTTTCATGTTACGGTTCGCCTACGCAGCCTAGCATTGCGCAAAATATTTTTTATAGAAATTTCTCATAAATTCCGCGAAGCAGGATAAAATTACACCTAACAATCGCTTTATATCATTATAACACATGTTTTCTTATTATACACTGGAAAAAGAATCAAATTGCGTTAATTGAAATTCTGCTTAAAAATATGATCAAATCAGAATTTTCTAATTGAATCTATTATAATTCTAAGTGATAAAAAAAATCAGAATTCTGATTGATATTATCAAAATCTTCTAATCCGTTCACTTTAGAAACTTCTTCAGTATATCTATATATATATATATA